CTTCCAGATCTGAGCACAGTGAGGCAAAATACATTGGCAAAATAATTATTTATCACTCTTAAAAGCTTCCTTTAAATTTTCTATCATTCAAATACTGGCTGGGGAAAATGTAAAGGACAGAGAAGCATATTTTATGCACTTGCTAGTCTAGCTTTTACGCTGATGAGAACTTACTAAACACCAGTAAAGGGAATAGCAGTTATCAGCCCTAATTCACAACTGTGAATTTTTTAGACCAAACAGATGCCTTTGCAGAATCTCAGCCAAGTGTTAATGACAGCCCCAGTTCCACTGGAGTCACTAGTTATTTCATATGGCTTCAAATGAGGGCAGGTTTGCTCCAAAGATCCGAGCAAGCACGCTGCTCTCAGAGAGACACTCATTGCCACACTGAGTAGGACAGGGTCCTCTAACGTTACCCAAAGAAAGGAAAATAACAAAAAGACATAGTCCTTTCCCTCAGGGTTTTTTATTTTGATGTATAGGATTTTTCTTTTTAACTCTTTTTTTTCCCCCGTTGATTAAAAATAAGGGGAAGCAGGCCTTCAACATGAAACCATCTAAATACAATAACAGATCTCTTTTAAAACACACTTGAAAATCTCCTCAAAATCTGTTCAGAGAATTTTGCCATCTCTTATACCCGTGCAACAACAGAGCTTGGAACTCCCCCAGGCAGAAGAGACCAAACAGGAAAGGTTGGTGCCCACATTTACTTCTGTGTTCCCAGACCCATCAACAGAAGAGCCTGCAGGAGAGATGAACAGGCAGGACCTCAGTCAAGCACTTTATACTGAAGCAAAGTCAAAGTTGTCAGGCAAATCCATATTCTTGTCTTTAAAAGGATTCAGGATAAGAAAAATTAAGTCCAGGTGCAAACATTTGCAAACTGAGGTTTATTTTTTCTATCTATGCACTTGAAATGAACATTGAAAGGGCAAACCCTCCCTAATCCTATCATGGCAATGTCTTTCTCTGCTTCCTAAAGCTGAGATTATCATCTCATTGGTTGTCACACAGCTCCTGAGAGAAGTAATTCACTGGATTTTCCTGTGTTATCACAGCACAGGATTTTATTTCTGTTGTTATCAGAATGGAAAATGCACATAGCTTGTTCTCTGTCTTGCTCCTTTTAAGTTACTTACAGACCTGGATGTGGCAAGCTTCCAAACACCCCAACTGCACTAAAACAGCTAAATCTGGGCAACCTGCTTCTTAGCAGCTCATCTCAACACAGGCAGGAAAATTTCCAGTTTTAAATTTCTATTCCAATTAAGGCAATGAAGACTGAAGACCCCTAAACTGTTGCCATTGCTTTCCAGCACATAAAATTAACAATTTGTGCTGCTGTGTGCAACTTTCAGTTAAAGTTGGTCTGATTTATAAGCAAGCAGATGGTTCACACGATAGTCCACAATAAATTACAACAGTTAGAAAGACAGCTACATTTTGAGAGTGACAGTGCAGCTGAGCTACAGATGGGTTTATAGATGACCCTTCCAATTTTTAATAATCTCCATAATTTATCTGCAAGCAAAGAAATGTGAGAATTCCTAATGCACCTTCTTGACTAAGTACAAATCACTTTTATTTACACAAGTAATACTTCATGGTCCAGTTAACTTCTTAATTAAAGGCAGCAAGATGCTCATGTTCCATGCAAGTGGCATGGAAAATACTGTTTGGTGTACAATATGTTCTGCTGGGAGTTTAAGATGCTCTGAACAATCCTGGAAAAGGGAAGTAATCTATCTCAATTCTTTAAAACAAGACTACAAGGGTGCAAACACTGCTACCACCAGTTACTTTTCATTAACCTCCAGATAAACTTTAGGTTCAAGCAAAGCCTAAAGTTTATCTAAAGGTCATTTACAAGATCTGATGCTTGAAAACAGACTCCTAATCCATACTCTAAACTTAGTTTTACTGAGCCAGGACTAGGATGGGGAAACAGCTGGAACAGAGTCCCTCATCCCTGTATAAAGACAGAGGGATTTGGAGGGGTCACTCCGGAATGGGTGAAGGTAAAAGGAAAGCAAGCCTGGGGGATTGTCAGCTGTGATGCAGAAAGAAACTGGTTGGAAGAAGCCTTAAGAAGCCAGTTCATGTCAGCGATTTCAGTGGCCACTTCTCTGGCCTGGGACCAAACCACATCAGTCCAATCCTTTTGCTAATCCTTCTTCCTCTTTTGAAGGGACTTATGGAAAGACACCTCTGTTGGGTTGTTATTGATTGCATGTCATGGTACAACAGACTCAGTCCTTCATGGCTGTAGTCTCAGCTGCAATGAGAAGCCCATCTAAGTGCAACTACTCTCTCTGTAGGGTGGTGAAAGCAGCAGTACCTACTAGGGCTCTTTAAGGCGTGAACTACAGAAACTCAGAGGGTTCCCCACAGCCAGTCTCATGGAATGACATTTGAGGGCTTTTCCTCCTCTCTAAACCTTCGTCTTCCCTTCTGGCCAAATTAATTAAAAAAGAGATCCACTTTTAACAGGAAATCCAAAACTGTTGTTAAAGCAGAAGGCACAGCTCCTAGGAAAGCAAGTCTGTGTATAATTGTAATTACCACCTTCCTGGGAATTAAGAGAGGCAGCAGAGAAGAGGCAGCAGTGACAAATTCAGGCTCTCAAGAATAATCACAACTCACATTTTGGAGATATTTTTGCAGGGATTGCCCAGCTCTGCCCACAGCAGGGCAGCCTGGGGAGCAGCACCACAGAGACACACGAGTAGGAAAATCCACTGCACAGAGGTGATGGGACTGCAGCCACTAATACATAAAGTGATTCTTCTGCTTCCCTTCCCTGGCAGCACCAACACCCCTTCATCCACAACACAGAACACTACTGAAGTTAAATCTGTTGTGTTTTTTTAAAAAAATTAAAATCAAATTCTTCTATAAATAACTGCAATCTGAAAGTCTTTGGAGCTTATATGAAACCATTATTTATTACTGTACACAACTCTTAGGTTGTTTCATTAAACACATGAAAAATTGTCTATGTCAGATTATTTCTGGGATGCTCTTTACTGTTATTTGTCATATTGTTTCTGTTACGCTTCGCATACTTAAAGCTGCATTATGCACTTCTGAAAACCCAGAGAAGATCACTATGGAATTAGTATGGATGTTCAGTTGTTACTGAGTGCTGAGTTTGGCACTTTATTTTAACAATATTCATCAGGTTCAGGAACTGCTAGCACGCTTCCCTCCAAGACAACACTGGGTCATACTACTGTTCTTCAAAAAAATATAGTGTTGAATATTTAATAGTATTTTAAAATATTCTATAACTATAATACTTTGACTGCAACGCTTTCATTTGCTTTCAAGAGGCCAAATGTACATATAGCACAAGAAATCAGAAGTTGCCTGAAAGCAATAGGGTCACTCTTGTTGCACCCAGCCTGACAATAATTCTGGAGTTATCATGAGCAGCTGGAAAGCCAGCACAGGCTACTCCAGTTTATTCCAGTGAAAAGTCAGAGAAAATATACACATGGTTGGTGTAACTATACAGTTAATACAATTCCCAGGACTCATCTACTGAAGCCTGCAGGGATGCTCCAGCTCACTAGACTGTACATCAAACCTTCTGGCTGGCATCCTTCTCCACTAACAGTAAAAATAATCCTGGACAGGGGATAAAGCAAGGAACACACATAAGCATTACCTTGTACTTCTTGTTCCTTGCATTCAGTAATCTGTCAATGGTGTGGAAATAATTTCCACAACCTTAGGAAGGGGACACCTTTTGTACTGCCTGATGTATGAAAATGCAGATGAATATGATAATATGAAAACAGTAAACTCCCCTGTAGCAAGTAGTTCTCATTTCTCTTAATAATCAAATATTATTTCCATCAACGTAACTAGAAGAAAAGAAATGTAAGTAGCAATTTGTCAGTCTATTTATCAAACCAAGTGCTGCACCTGGTTCCCACACATTTTATGTTGAAAAGCGTATGACATGTAAGGCTTTATGGTTCAGTTTTAATTCAGGGATGAAAACATTTATAGATATGAAGGTTTTCTTATTAAGTTTTCTTCCTAAATGATTAGGCTTGTTCAAATCAATTCCTAGCCATCTTGCAGAGGTTACAACCTTCAATAATTAAATTGGATATTGTATTGGCTGTTGTGTTCATTATGCTACAAGTTCCAATTTCTACAAGAGAACAGAAATGCTAAGATAAAAGGATGTTAAGTTTATTTAATTAGCTATCTGCCATTGTTATCAAAATGGAAGGTTGGTATCTGACTCAAATTAACACTTTAGATCAGGAAATAAGACAGATGATATCTTCTGACAAGGATCTTGGAAACTCTCTGTAGTCATTTCAGTTATTTTAAAGCTGCTCAGGACAAACAAGATTACATTAGAAAGAGCAAAAGTCACCGATAGTAAATGAAGTGCTGCTATGAAAATGCTATTTCAATCACACTTGGGTTTTTTCTCATTTTCAGTTGTTAACATTCTTGCCACTTTTGTCACACAGTCACTTCTAGCAGCATTGAATTTTAACTGCACATAATTTTAAACCAACATGAAACAGGACTGAGCACATAATACATGTTCACTGAGCCAACAAACAACAGAGCAGATCAGGCCCTTGCGCCACAGCATCACCTCTCTGCAGAGGAGGTGCCACCTCTGCCATCCCTCTGCCTCTAATATCTCCTTTCTTATCTAATAGAAATATTAGGTCCTTCAGAGGAGGCAAAAAGACAGTGTGAAACCTCAGAGGTCCTAGAAAGATTTTAACTGTGGCTTACACACAACAAACCTACGAGTATCAACTTTGCAACTGCCCAGAGGATACAGTACCTGAATGAAATCCTCAAAGGACACCCACTGCCTCCCTCCCCAGACTGCATTTGTATAGAGTGGCCAATGGCCAAAGTAATTTATCCAATAACCACATCACCCTGCCACTTATTGGTTTCTTTCTGTTAGGGCTACAGAAATGTGCTTATTCCCTTCCCAAAAAACTTACTGGTCTTGACCGGATTTCTTTGGCGTAAAGAGGTTTCAAGAATTCTGAATCTCCTTCAAGCTTCAGACCCTTTTCCGTGATTCTCAGGTTCCCCATTCCATCCTAAAAGACAGACAAAAAGAAACAACCCCATTAGTTACAATTACTAAATTCACCAGGCCACCAACAGCTGATTTTTTTCCACAGAAGATAGCACATATAGCACTGGGAGGCACTAGAGAATGCAATTACTTCTGTTATCCTTGTCACTTGGTTTCTGTGGAAAAAAAATAATAAATTCTATTCAGAACAATCTGCAATGCCCCCCAGTAAACCATTTACACAGATGAAAGATGTTCCTTTAAGCTAAATCATTCTCTACTCACAGAGACGCAGCAATGCTCTGCGTTAACAGGAAACTATTCACTGTAATATCCACCGTCTGCCTGTATATTAATATATCTTCTCATTCACAGCAAATCATATAAAGACTGTGAGATTAATTCTGCCAAACTCCATATAGAGAATATGTGATTAATTCCACTGAATCAAGAAAATAAGGTTTGGCTGCGTAGCAGTATTGCAACAAAATGTGGTAGGGAACTTGACCCCTGTAATTTGGGGAAGCCTCTGCAAATCATGGAATCTTTGGTGGGATTTCTTTAGGGCTGTCAGTCTTTACAGAAAAAGATGGGGAGTCACATTGATTAGTTACAAGTGTCACAGTCTCTTCTGTTCTTTCAATACTGTTAAGATGCTGCACAGCTTTATCGGAATATACATTTAGGCAAATATTTCCTCTGGAAGAAGTAATGGTACAAAAGGAACAAGGCTGCTCTCCTGTCTTGGACTGACTTCTGGCTTTTCTCTCCCCTCAATGATCAGCTCAGGATTGGAGCCCTCACTCTGCTCCTTGCACACCCCAAGCACATCCCAGCAATTTGGACCTCTGCATTCAAACATTTTGGGTCTTCTGAGTCATTTTCATGCCCTTCAACCAACCACTGCAAAGACCATTGGCCAGGCATGAAGTGACTGATGTAACTTTGGTTTCTGTTGAGTCCTAGTTCCACAGTTGTAGCTCTCAGTTCTCACCCTCTCCCCAGCCCTCCCAGGCTCCACGGCTCCACCACACCCTGTACTTCCATGGCAAAAATCTTCTTGGCCTCCAAGAGATGACTGCAAATAGCCCCTTTAGAAATTGTTTATCTATGTGTGTGCAAGATGTAATGAAAGATCTGATAAACCATAAGAGCAAAGAAAAGATGCCAAATTTTTATGATTTTTTTTTTTAAGTGCAGTGAGACAGGTATATGGACACACTGGCACAGAGCAGAACTGTACCAAAATACATTTCACCTTTGACACATGAAAGCTCTAACTTTTACTAAGATGAGGGATTTAGCATCATTTAGGCTGTAACTGCTTAGAAAGGAGTGTGTGTGTGTGTAAGAAACATGGTGTGGGTAGAGAACTGCACAGGTACATCCATAATCAAAATCACATCAAATGCAAGGTATTGTTTCTAAGATTCAGGGTGACTATCAAAGTTTGCAAGGATTGAGGTAAATTGGTTGTTTTTCTGAGAAAAAGATGGTCTGAAGAATACCTTTTAGCATAAAATTGACTGAAGTCACTAGGATTGGAGAGTAACACTAGCACCTCAGCTGTTTCAGGGGTTTTATAGGAAAGAGGAATGCAGTTGGGTAGAAGCCCTAAGAAGATGGAGGCCTGGAAAAACCAGGTAAACTGAATGTATTTGGATATACACCCTGCATGCTTTCTAATCCATCTACAAAACCTCTTCCCATCTCTCTACTCTCTCTCCCTCCCATTGTGAGTGCACCAGAACAGGAATCACCGTCACTACAAGTGAATGGCTAACCCAGAAAGACTTCCATGAACTATTGCCAAAATGAATTTGGAGGGATGAAAATCAAAGACATCTCACAGCTCAGCAAGTGACACTGGTCACTTGCCAGAGGTTCTCCTGTTCCAAGAAGTACCATTCCCAGGTAGTTCTCTGCCAAGTTAAAATCCTTCTTGCCAGAGCGTGGTGTCCTATGAACAAAGGTGATGCTGGGTGATAAAGTGACCGTTGTCATCTCCTTTTGAACTGAAAGCTGTAAGCAAACTTGAGAGACATATGCTGAAAATGCTACGGATTGCTGAAGGGAGGGAGTGAGAGGTGGCTCATAAAATGCCACTTGCAACATTCCTTGGCCTGGGTGGAAAATATTGGCTTGTGAATTCTGGGTTGGTGGTGGCACAGCAGGGGTTCATTTATTTCACACAAAAGGATAGAGGAAAATGAGTGAAATGTGATTATGCACCAAAAAACCCCAGATTAAACTTTGATAGCTGGTGTGCTTTGTGATTCGAGCGAGCAGGAATTATTACAGCTATCTGCAGACTCTCACATGTTTTGAGCTGCTAAAAAAACTACCATTTTTTTTTTTTCTCAATATAGATATTTCAGAAAGGTTACAAGCCTTGAGGGCTTTCACATAGCAGTGTCTTCTCTGGTTTTATCAAGAAAAGTTACATGTCAGGGGAGCTGGTATGTGCCCCATACAGCCGTAAGAATGACCATCTGTGTAGATATGCAATGCTGGCCATTTCCAGGGCTTGCTCCTGAGCTGAAGTGGGGCAACACTTTACCAGTAATGTGGACCTATGGATAAAAAGGGATTTGTGAAGTCACCACCAAGCTGTGGCAAACCAGAAATTTTGATGGCTCACAACTGTGTTCTATCATAATGATATATATGATTATATATGAAAAACACACATATGGGACATTTAGCTCACAGCCAGAAGATGTATCAGGCCTATGGGATAATGTACTACAACCAAAACATCACAAACACATTTGGTTAATTAAAGCAGGTGTATTCTCTTACAAATCCACTGAGTTGGAAAAAAAGAGGTGCTTCCCCATGTTTTCTTCTCAATCTCCAATCCCCACTCACCTTTCCTTCCTCCAGCAGCCACCAAAATTAATAAAAGCTGCACCCACCAGATGTCCTGTCTTGCCCTCCCTGGTGTTTGGGAGCTGATACAATGCTTAGCACTGACTTACTACGACTAACTCACTGCTGCTCATGTTTCTCATGATTAAAGCTGACAGCTTTTTGTAGTGACAGTCTGGGTCAGCAGGTGAAAAACCAAGCAAAGGTTGTAACCTGAGTTTAATGAGTTTCATGGCCTCTTATAGTACAATCATTATAAAATCGTATTCATCTATTATTTCCCATTAAAAAAAAAAAAAGAAAAAAAAGCAGCTCGCAGAATTTATAGATGTTCCAAAACGCAGATACATTAGAGAGAAATCATTGTGTGAAAGACTTCTTCACAAGTTGTTTTGGATAAAGTATCTTCATCCTCCCTAAATGATATGGTTTAATAACAAATAAATGTCATATTCTGCTTCAGAGAATATATATGAAAGTTCCCATGAAATTTCATGGACTGTGACCTATAAAATGTAGCAGAAAACTGCCTAGAGTGACAAAGACCAAAATGTTTTATTAAACATTGTGTCTGTGATTGGTATATATCCTTACCTGCCACTCTACTGCTTGTGAATAAAGATAAAAGAAAGGCAGTATTGATTATTTGATACTCTGCCATCTGACAATCATTGTTTCTCTCCTTTTTATTAATAGACTCCTCGGCAGAGTGAATTACTTTATTGTGCAGGCACAAGCCAGCTTTGTGGAAGCTCCCAGGAGGAAAGTTCCAAACAGGAGGTACAGAGTCAGGAACTTTCCATTATCACCTGGTTTGAATTATTCTGCTTTTTGATAGGCCATGGCAAAAACTTTCACATCAATTATATCATCTATGCCCTCTCTCTTTTTATGCAATGCCTTGTACTGGACAACCATAAAAATGTATGTGCTATTGCTGACTGCTCTGGGTTGAAAGGATTCAGAAATCCTGAATAACATAAATGTCATTTTGGTGATGCTCAATGAGAAGGGAATTTGCTTTTTTCAGTAGCCTGAGAAGCAATTCATATTTACAGTCAATTATGAATGATGGCATTAGTGTTAGGGAAACAGCCCAGCATTGATGCCATCTGATCTCTGCCTTTTGGGTAGCAATGTGGCCATACAAGTGGCTAAAGCCCAGCTGGGTTTTGTTTTACTTTTTAACAGTTGTGGGTTACTTTAATTTTTTTTTTTTTTTTTTTAAGTGTACAGCTGGTAGCAGGGAGATTCAGAAGAAGAAAAAACAGCCAGCCTACCCAAGAGATGTAACTGCAGTGGTAGAGGCTTTAAACTGAGAGAGGGTAGATTTAGATCAGATTTTTGGAAGAAATTCTTCCCTGAGAGGGTGGTGAGGCCCTGGCACAGGTTGCCCAGAGAAGCTGTGGCTGCCCCATCCCTGGAAGTGTTCAAGGCCATCTTTGAGCAACCTGGTCTAGTGGAAGGTGTCCCTGTCCATGGCAGGGGAGATTGGAATTAGATGATTTTTAAGGTCCCTTCCAACCCAAACATTTCTATAATTCTACGATAAATACCTGGAAGTGGGACTGACCCCACCAACCTGGACTGCTTACACATAGGGACGAGGTAATTTTCAGTGCTCTCTGCCATTCATGGCAGCTTTATTTGACCAGGCTGAGCTCACACTACAGCTTAACCTAGTCAAGAACCAATATGGTGATGACACATATTTACTGTGTTCCTTAGTGCCAGGATGCTTTGTCTGTCACAAACAGTAACTTCAGCCTCAAACTCTTCTGTGCTTCCTGTGTTGTCCAGAAATTTCTGAACACAGAGGCAAATTAGCTGTTTATTGAGGTGTTTGTAAGGATTTTAAGGACACTGGTGATGGGGAACACAGATTGCTCCAGCTGCCTGCTGGTCACCACCAGCACGTGTTTCCCCACGATTTTTCCTGCACCTCCATCCCTCTCCAGTTTTCAGGAGGAAAACTGTTGTCAAGGTTTCTCTGCACAGCAGGCAAGCTTTCACTTCTTTGCTAGGAATAAACTGAAGTTATGTTCAGCAATGTCCTGTGGGAGAGAATTATCTTTGGAGACTGCTCATGTCAGATGGCTGAAACACCTGATTATCGTTGCTTGTATTATTGATTGCTGTGCTCTGCATTGC